TGCACTGGTCAAGTAACGTTGGATGAGCAGATTTAATAATAAGTGCAGTGCTTAGGTTTGTGAGCTGTCAGCTGGACGGGTACGTCACTTGCTTAGAATAAGGTAAGTCGTTCAATCGGATTCAAATCCCTTTTATACTGGTTTTAGTTTACAAAGCCTGAAAGAATGTTTAATACTTGGACTGTGTCTGCGGAGCCTGGTTCTTCATGGCCGCCACTATGATTTCATGATTGCGATGAAATGCAGAGAAACATGCGTTTAGACAGCAGAAAGTGTCGTGGGGAATTACCGGCAGTGGAATGCACATGTAAGACCACGCCGAGTACTCAGTACCAGCCGAAGCACTTCAGTTCAAGATTCAAAACACGAAAAACAAGACGCCCAACGGGACGCCAGGATAGTGGCTGGGGAGCGCTCACACACGATATTACTAGGCGCCCATGCGAAATGCAGGCTTGCATCGTTCCTTGAAAGCACAGTGCGCACGTCGCTTCCACGTTCCTTACTATTCCTAAACATACAATTGTGAGTGGATCACTGTATTCATCAGTATTAAAATTCATGGGAATATTCTCCAGCTAAAAGCTACCATGCCTTTGCAAAATGACGTAGAAACTCGAAAACTCGAACAATCGTGTCAATTAGCTCAAGTACTGCACGGAGAGGTAGGTGTCGGACCTTTGCTGGGAAGAACGCGCGTAGTGCACATCATGTTTGCTTTGGGTTTTCTAAGGCTATTTTCTCCCGTTGTGGGGGTGGAAAGGTGCCAGACACGGTCTTCTAAACCAGTGCATGGCATGCAATTGTAGTGTCGTTCCGTGTACGACTTGCTCTGTATTGACGTTGAGAGGCCGCAGCGCATCCACAGTCGGCTCATGAGTCTGACACATAATCCCCCCTCCGCCGTAGCAATGTGAGACGAATGAAAATCGGCAAGCTCGGTTGCCCTCGGCTAAGCTCAACGCCATGTTGCAACCCGACACTGCTGTATTGAGGTATCACAGCGGATGGACGCACCGTTTGTGCACAAACAACAACCATGCGTCAGACCCAGACAATAATATTGCTGAGACAGGGAGGGCCGTGAAGAGTCAACGTTCAAAATAGCAGAAAGCTCTAGCAGCAGCGGCCCGCCATGGTCTTTAGCTGTTGGTGCTGAGTCTCTATTGTCACTGAGACCATGCGTGTCTATTCCTCGTTACCGTTTGGTGTACTGACTGCACGCGTTGTCTTCAGCGTTGACGTTATCTATCCAGTGTTAGTTGTAGCCAGGCTCAGCCAGTAGCCGAAAATAGTGACCCCCGCAAATGCACCCAAGCCCCAAGCGAGACTTGTACGCCCTGAAGGTTGTGACGATTGTACTAGCAATTCCAGTTCTCCATTGTCCGTGCAAGTAGGCTTAATAGGGTGAGGCCTCACGAGTAAGCCCAAGCGACTGCTGAGAAGAGTAGACTTATGGGGAATAGTCAGAAAATGCCCACTTAGTCCCACCAGCAGACTACCAGTAATACAGTTGGTCATCACATTGTAGTAGTGACTGCATGTATGTCGCAAGGGCTGTCAGAAAGGTGCAGTTTCAGAACCCGATGGTACATTGTACACGACGTATACTGCTTGTTTGTTTTCAACCAATCAAGGCTTGTCTAATACGACGTATACTGCTTGTAGATGTGTGCGCGGTACCAACGCTTCTTGTTGTTACATATGCCACCTTTGTCCTGCGCACGTCAGGAGTTGACGCGATCTGGGGCAGCTGCTCTAGAGTACAGTACTACATGCACTGCTAGACAGTGCGGCATTGCGGCGAGAAGACGGCTGCGAAATTGCAGCAGCGACATTGGCAGCATATACGACAGGTACTGAGATAGGTAGGAAGGAAACTGCATGATATGCCGCGCAGAGAACGCATCGGAACAGATTCATAATCACAGTAAATGCGCAGAGCATGCATGAGCAGATCGACTGCATTCTGCGCGGGGAATTGCTCCAAAAGGCCTGATGTATCTAACAGATAACCGGCGATGCTGTGTGCGTGCGTGCGTGCCACAATGGACCACGTCTTGTCAGTCTCCGCCACTGTTTGAAACTAAGACAAAAAATCCAAACAAGGAGTCCTCCAGCAAAGAGGAGATTGAATATTAGCACCAGCATGTCTGACATTCCAACCAAGAAGAGTTTGCTCCTATGAATTCTGACTATTTTTAGTCCCAGCTCATGACACCAAATTGTAACAAATCACCAACCTGCATGAACACTACATCCCCGCTGGTATACATGTACGTCACGTGTAAGAAGCTAGAGCAAGTGATTATTTTGACGAACTAAACATGATCACGTCTTTACCAACTGCGACAGACGAATCCCTCCTACCTTCGTCGATTACATTGATGTGCCAGCCGTGTTATCGATGCACGAGCACAATCACAAACATGAAATCGAGACAATCGAGCATGGTAGAACCCCCACAATCACCCAGCCAGCAGAAGAAGCAACCAGGGGTGGTCTAAGTGTTGATCAACACCTCGCATGTATCGTACCAACACTGTCAGGTGCAGGGCAATACCTTTTATTGCCGTGTTTTGGCTGAAATGTGTTTAGAGGTATTAACTTATGAATAATTATAGTTACTCCAGCAATTGATGAAAACCCTGTAAACCTAGTGGGATCTGGACCCTAAGCGCTGGAGATGTGCTAAGTCCAGCAACTCTACTAACTTCTGTGTTGCTCCTCTTGGGAGTCTGGCTAGTGCCGGAACGTGAATATCGGGCTTATTTTCCGGTCGCAATCTACCGCAATCGCTTGCTTCTGTGTTGGAAAACACCGAGCTAACTACAGCCGGACGAGCTTGTTTCGACTCCGCACCGCTTATGGCACTCTGCTGTAAATCCGCTCTGGATTGGTGTTACATGCCCGCGGACTGACTGAGGCAAGGCACGTGATACTGCTGCCTACATGCACAGCAGGCTACACCTCACTCCAGTCTAGTTTAGCTTGCGCAAAGAAAAAGGGGGTGTCTGCGGTGCCAGTGGCGGCTAGCGAGACGGAAGACAGGCGCACTGGCTGACATTATGAAAGCGCAGGTGAAAAAGGGAACATGCCTAGACCCCTGACTGCACACCTCAAATAGTCAGGAGGATAACAGTTGATCACAGACAGTGAGCAGAATCGTTCCAGCTCCGCTCTAGATAGTTAACCAGGTGCAGCTTGAAAAAAGTCTACTGCGAGTACAACTACAAGCAGTATCCACCATCGTCAGGATTATCTACGCACTAGAAGCTGAGCCAAGGGCGTCGGATGCGCGTAAAGAGCAGGTGAGGACGGGAGCGGGAACATGTGCGGCCATACCTTCCGCACAAGTACGAGTAGTACAATATTTTGCAATTGTGACGACTCCAATACACGGACCAGTCGTACATGTAGGTGACCGTGTGCTGCGGCTGTAGGCGTGTGCGAATCTTTATGTACTATGTACCGCTCCAAGCTGGGCGATGACTTTACCTACGTAGTTTTTTTGTATTGCAATCGTTCTGTCCACGTCCTTGGATCGTTCAGTCCAGAAATCATGCATCGGGCGGAGGTTTGGTTGGTTGTGATGGTCTTTGACTCGAGCCAGGTAACTGGCAAAGAGCTAGTACATGTACATCGTCCTGCTACAGACTAGAGTGGGAGCTTGCAGCTAAACAACAGCTGATGTCAAGTTGGGTGTGTTTTGGCCGATATTGAATGCTCAAACGGCAATCTGTTGCGCCTCCCCAGTTCTGTTACCAGGCGTTCTTGGGATCTGGCCTCAAACTTAGGACTTTTGCGTTGCCACCGTGCCCAGGTAATCATGTAGTTGTATGAACGCTACATCATCGTGTGGCAAGGAGAGAGGGTACACGACTGATGACTACATTGTACATGTACTTGTACTTGCAGTTGTATGTATGATGGATATGTGATATGCATGTATGGGATGTTCCAAGTAGCAGAACACCTTCTTGAGCAGAAAACCGTGATGTGCATGAGTGAAGATCAAATTGGACACGTGACGAGGGCGCCATGGGAGGTCTAATGGTGACGCGCTACGCCTTTTAGACTTAGAACACCCTCTACTCTACTTGTATATTTAAAACGTGGATGAGAGGACTTTATTTACCATACTTTACAAGCCATGTACTTCTGTAAGAGAGTAGTCTCTACGAAGATGAGATCAATGTGGCGGTGAGATGCTGCTGCTTTTGTCAACCGAAGAGTCTCGACTGTCTTAGGCAGAGCGTACCAAAATAACAACAAATGAGAGGGGAGAAAGACAGAATAGTTTCAGGTCAGAGTGTATGAAGGGAATTGCAACTTGCAAGGGGTATCATTGAGCGGCAGAGCCTTATTGACAAGCCAGCTAAATTTAGTATGGCTAAGCAAAGGCAGTACCCCTTGCAAGGGCTGAGGTGCTGGGGCCAGGAATTTGCTCTTCAAGCAGCTCACTCATGCTAGACACAAAAGAAGACAACAGTCGCTATTCTTCCATGCTGTGTCTTGGGTGGACCAGCCAAAAGGGATGTTGTTCTTGTGCGAAGGTTGACGGACGGAATTCTGTGGAATGGTTTTCCTAACAGGTCGCAGTGCTAGTACTTGTGGTAATACCACGACATAACTGCTCTCTGAGAGAACCTACAGCGTTGTTTTGCCCTGCACCTGGCGTTGCTGCGAGTCGGAGGGGCGCGGAAGGTCGCACTCAGCGCAACACTCGACAACACAAAAGAGCGCCCCGATGACCTCGTTTAGCGCTACGTACACCCTGCAATAGTCGGGTACATGTGCTGCAGATATTTGCTGTCCTATCTGGCCGTAGCCACTGGGTCTTGTATTACATATTCAGAGATAGGGGAGGGGGTAAGTATGCTACTTGGTTGAGATTTACGCGGAGTCTTGGCCGTGATCATAGTATCCTTCCAAGTCTTGGTCACGAGATGAGAGAGTGAATTGCCTACTTTGCGAACGCCACTCTTGCAGCCGGAGCTGGCTGGCTGCAGCTGTTACGCGTACAGTGTGGTCGTGCGACGCTACCAGGTAGCATGGCATGATGATGATGAGGCTGAGCTGGGGAGGAGGAGGACACAACGAAATCCCATAGCATCAGGCACAGATCACAGTGGGTAATCCAAGGTACGCAAGGTACGCGGGATCAGCGCAGGCGACCTGTGCTTCATAGGCTAGCTGGTCTCCCCGTTGAGACAGCTCGGCACATGGTTCCAGCGTGGAGTATTGTTTACGGTGCTTCGTCCCCTCTAACACATCCACCACAGCATGCACGCACGCCACTATCAGTCCAGGCCAAGCCGCCGACTGGAAATTGCATATTTAGTCGGATGGTTACCGGAGGTTGAACTTCAGTCTCTTCTGACGCGCTCCAGCTCGCCGTAGGCAAGAGTCAGCTTGCGAACTGCATGCCGTCGTTTCCATTGTTGAACTACTGTATGTGCGAGATAGGAAACATTCTGCTGATAGAAATACTGTCACCACTTTCAGGTTGTAAGTTGATGTAACGCACTTCCCCTGCTGAGGCTAGTAGTAGTACCTCCTCAGTGTGAAGGCGTCGAACACGTCACGCGGGTCGTCAGCACATCTTCCGTGACAGCATAGAGACAAAAGGCACTCGGTGAGCTGGAGCAGATTGGCAATTCCGCGCTGACATGTTACGATGAGCAAATCTCTATAAAGGTGACGAGTTCTATCGTATTCGCGCTTTCTCTGTTTTTGTCACAGGTCCTCGCTACTGTACTCCGCCAGGCAACGAAAGTGAGAAATTGTCACACTCTCCCTCGTGGCCCGTGGGAGATGCAGAGAATGAGCAGGCGAGCCCGGAGCAGAACAATGGCATTACAGCTGGCACTAACATCATTACTTTCAGTGGTGGCAATGCTGGCACCCTGTACTGTAGCTGCGGAATCGGTAAGGGGTCTGAGAAGCCGCCGAAAGAGATAGAGAGAGAGCGCGCATAAATACAATTAGTATTATTATAGCCCTCGCATTTGGTGATTGCTATGCTTCTGTGCTCCGCTCAAGATGTCTACAAGTAGTTTTAATTTTTACATGAATGCCCAAACCTGACCGCAATGCCCGTTGCCCGAACGTGAGCGCACTAGAGTTACATCATGTATCTTGGGGAGTGCTTTCGGCGTGCAGTCACAAGACACAATGCTCTCTCGTTGTCATTGAGGCGGCTGATGGGCAGCCCGTTTTAGAGTGTTTGTCTTCGTGTGTTTTTCTCGTCGACTAGATACGACTGGTGGAGGACCACGCGCGCTCATTTTTCAAGCTTCAGTCTCACCAGGCCGGTAGGTTCTTGTTTCGCTTTTCATCACTGTGTCATGGTGTGTGTACATGCACATGTAGATGATGTACTTGTAAAGCGACTCGGTGCCCCCCCCCCCCCCCCCCCCCCCCCACCAAACCCCCATTTGCAGAACTACTGACTGTGTTTAATAGCGGGTTTAATATTTCATGTAGATGTTTGACGGGTACTCTACTCAACAAAGCAACCACAAATAGATTTGAGATCGGGTGTGGACGGTCTTTCTGTGGCCACTCTTGGAGAATTCCTCCTGAGCTCGAGGAGCTGGACATCGTCGTGTGCTTTCCTGTGGCCTGGCAAAGTAGCGCGGAGTGTACACGAATGGGTCCATTCAGTTGTTCCACTATTTCGTGTGACGACGAGTTTTGAGGAATGCCATAAGTGACGTCACGCAGTGTTGAGTTCTACGAAGAAAGCGATGCAGAATCACTTGAGACGCCATTTCGAAATGCATGTCAAGGCCCCGGAATAACCCCAGGCAGAGGATGAACCTTCCCAAGTAAATGCCACCTTTAGCGCTGCATCAGCAACGCGACTTCACTCTACCTCCGAAACGCGTAGCATTTTCAGCGAATAGCCACCAGACACAACTCGTTCACATACGCACAGAGCCTGTTCGCTCTTACAGCCATTGTCATGCTGTCAGGGTAAACCGCCTAGACCTCTACTCACGTGAGACGCAGTCTGCGAGAGATTGCTTTGTAAGTGCCCTTGTAGTGCAGCAGTTAGGATGAGAGATACCACTCTCCTGATTGGGTGGCTTGCATCGATGGTCTACAACTACAAGTACAAGGATTGGACTGAAATCTACTTGTCACCCGCAATATCCGTGTGCCTATTTTTGCGACATGATGAGGATTGTGCGCTTTCTTGTCGCTCCTCGGCGTGTGGCGCACTCCCTGCAAAAGACTGGCAAAATTGCCATAGGGTTGTTCACACCTCCAAGGCAGACGTGTTGTCCGCTCTAGCGCGAAACCGATCCGCCATGCTCAGGAAGAGCTTCTGTAAACCGAATCCCGAGTTTGGAGGATGGCCTCTTCGCTGGCAGTTGTTTCTCAGACGAAAGGCGGATATGACTCGCACTGGATTTACTTTGAGCGCACAACCGCGGAGAAAGGATGCATACTTCCTTATTGGCCATGGGCCATCGTGGAAATGAAGAATAATACAGAGAGAACACCCTCAACGTAAGGCGATATCTGCGCGAGTCTCTTCACGTTTTCGCCTGAGACTGAGAGGGCCTCTCATCGCCTGCACTTTCAATCAATCATGCCTGCCATCGTCACCTCGGATCAGCGGCGCTGCTAAAATACAATCATACAATTCAGTGGCCGTGGCTGCCCTGACGCAGTACGGCGATGGTGCGGGGCAAATGATAATTGGGAAACTATTACCGAATTCCGGTGGATGAAAGGACGTTCAAGTTGAACTTTCTTCGGGGAGTTGTCGGCTATAGAGTTCAAGATGGCATGGCCCGGAGGTGATGTGATAGTATTTACGTGTTTCAGAATCGAAATCTGAACAAGGTCGAGCTACAGGGAGAGAAATTTGCTCTCGCGGGAACAAATGAAATTCCATGTAGTTCTGCGCATTGGCGCGAACCGGCCGGCTAACTATGGTGCACCCTGGCTGTGGGGGAACGGCTACTCAGCGCCGACCCTACTCCCAAGATGCACAGCATGTGAAAGTGACAAAATGCGGCGAAAAGCTTAGCTCTAGTGTGAGCTGAACTGGAGGCAAATAATCGAGCCTTGTTGACATCACGCGATCTGGCCTATTGCCCTGCGATGACGATCAGGGAGTAATCACGAACGAAACACATTCTCTCGGCGGGAGCAGGGGCGTTTTCCGCGACTTTCGAAAGTAGAATTGTTTGAAGCACGTGCAATGTTTGAGTTCAGCCGTCGCTGCAGCGGTAGCTACTGGCGAAATGGGCGGCCACCTCATTTCGATTACCAATCTCTCTTTCGCGCAAAAGAGACATCCTTGTTGCGTTGACACCATCGTGTTTTTGAATTGGCTGTGGACGTAGGCAAACACAGGACAGAATACACCAAACAAGCGGAGAATGTCGGAACACCATGGAACACAGGCCATGTGCTCTGGAGATCAATTTCTCAGCGAACATGGCCGCCTGTGTCTCCTGCCGCCCGCTCGCCTGTCAGTCACGTCGCGGATGCGCATCTGGGGTCGCTCAAGATTGATCACGCGTTGACACATCCAGCTTCACTTCCACTGCAATCTCCTCATCTCCTTATGGGACGGGCCATAGGCATAGGCCATGTCATTGTAGCCACACACAAGTAAATTTATGCCTGAACGCCGCATACATAATATCTTTAGCATAATGTTCCTACTCATCCATCCGGATATCGCGTGCATGGTCTGGTCCTGCTACCCGCGTGTACTAGGACATTTTTATGCGTGTGCGTGCGTCGAAGCAAACCCGCTTTTTTTCACCGCTTGGCGGTTTGTGTCGGGAGTCTTTGACAAGATTTAGGGCGATGCTGGAAAGGAAGTGGTCGCACTATTGTCACACAGCACGCGGTCCATGATGTTGCTGGTAACACAGGTTTCGCTTACTGCATCACACACTCGCAGAGACTATCTTCTATCGCGAATGAACATCGAGAAGGATCAGTCGATTGTCAGTAACGACATCTCTGGTCCTTCGATATTACATGTACACGGCAAGAGATGGGAGCACATTTGTCGCAATCGAATTCACTCAATTTAGTCAAGTACCTCACAGGTGCGCTTTCGGATAGCATCCACCATCAAAACCTCCCGCCCTGCGCCAGATTCTACGCCAAAATATCATGTCGCGGAGATTAACCAACAATAAAACATGGCCGACGAATGAGGACAAAATCCTTCATGTGTGCGCGTGTGCTTGGGAGTTTACGGCAAACGGGGAAGCGAAGCAGATGTTGAGCGAGATGTAGCGGTGAGTGAAATTTCTTTTGCGACCTAGTGCCGACCATGTAGCAGCGGGCCTGCAGCAATAACCTGCGGCATGTGACGGGCTGCGAGACACTTGCACTGGCTGTATTGAACGCATCGACGAGAAGCAGGTAAATATACCTCAACATTGCGTGTAGTTGTGGATATGTTTCTGTTTGGAGAACACTTGTGTGCGGCAGTTCAAGACCTGTGTGGTTGGCGTTACAAGTACAATTACATGTACATCCAGTGTAGGTTGTCGAAGTTCGAGCAATCTGGAAGCTTGGTACGATGTAGGCTTGCCGTAAGCAGACTGGTCTGGCCGTTGTTGACACTATTGCCCTTTACCTTCGCTTCCAGGGGAGAATTGGTACATTCTACATGAATCTCGTGGTGTTGAAACGATTTGAGGGTTTGTGACAAAAACGAATTTGCGCCACGTGTAGTGTTAGCTAAGTAGGATTGCTGCCTAGTCTTACTACAACGCTGTCCGTGTTGGGACGACCTGGTCACGTTCACTACTGACATGAAGTTCGGCCCGGCTGATCCACACGTTTCAAGAACGCCCAACTTTCTCCATCAAGTGCCTGCGATTCACGTGCATCCACCAAACCAAACCTGCTGCCAGTCCGCAATATTCCAAGCCCTTCAGAACGTCGCCCCTGGGCTCATTGCGTTGAAGAGATCCTGCTGCCTCCAAGATGACACCAGGCCCTGGAGGGTGAGCTGGGAAATGACAGTCTGAGGGGATTTGCTCGAAAGGGTGGATCCCCCTTTGCATTTTGAATCAGGACCTGAAAAGCATAAGCTAGGTGGCAGCAGTGGAGTTGCATCGTCAGCTGCGCAGCAGCAGCAAGATGACGATGGTTCACTTAGGGCAGAGCAACATCGTAAAGATGATAGGTGCCCTAGGCCTTTCTCCTCCAAATCCGATTCTGCAGGCACAGATGGAACATCAAGAGTCGGAAGACGGTGCTGGGAGCACAAAGCAAACTCAGTTGTAGAGAGGAAAGATGCTGGGCAAATTGGCCGGCCCAACATCAACCCAGCAAAGTTGTTGTGCTGCTTGAGGGAGCAGGATTTGCATATACAAGACATCCTCAACCTCCCCATGTGTTGCTGCTAGTAGAAAGACATGCACCTGCACTGGAGGAGGCACTAAGCAAACATTGCAGTCCTTTGCCATGCCCTGTAAAAAAAACTGGCACTCTCAAGTCAAGATAGAAGTATATTGATAGACAGTGGAAAAGAGGCTCTACATGGTCAAAGGCTGTGTAGGTTACATCATGGGTAAAACTACTAGAGACCGAAAACAGTGCCTGGTTGATCCTGTGCGTAGGTGCTCTGTGTTTGCACACACTCCTGGGACCATCCGACTCTGGAATGCAAATACACCACTCACCTGCTGGCACTACCTGCGTCAGTTCAATTTGTTCTTCACCTGCCTGGCTTGTACGCATCCTTAAACATCCCAATAATAGATACGTGCACTGGGCAAGACTGTTTAAGATCTCCTGAAACAAGTCTGTGTTTATCTATAACTTACATGTGGTATTCCTCTAGGCACCACACCCACACACTCAGCATAACATATTTTACTTCAAGTACAAGCTTATTGGAATACATGAAATTTCAGTGAGCGCAATAAAAGCAGAAAGTGACCATTGGGCCTTCATTGCCGATACACCTTTTCCTGGACCTTTTTGTTCGGAGTCTTGAAATGGGGCAACGTTACGGGTGCACCAGTTAGCTGCAATGGTATATAGGCTGAGCTCTGTGTTGTGTGTTGATCGCTGGCACGTGAAACTCGTTAGTTCCAGCAACAACACTTTGCTTGGTTCTTGGCTCTATACCTATATTGTAAACTTTATGTGGCTCTTTGTTCCTCTGCAGTTCCAAAGCATGAAGTGGTGTTCCCAGTGCGACGGCATCACAAGACCCGGGAGTTCATAAGCCATGACACCAAGCTGGAACCACACCGGCAGCGGCGCTCGACAACACCCAGCGAGCATGCTGCTGTCCAGGAGCCAATCCACTATTCATTCAATGCGTTTGGCGACGAGTTCCACCTCCACCTGCGCAACAACTACCAACTGGTTTCGGATGATTTCTCGGCAACCATACTCAACGACGACGGACACAATGAGACTCTGTTCGAATTCCCGCTATGCTACTATCATGGTCAGGTCGTATCCCATGGTGACTCACCTGTTGCTGTCAGCAACTGCCATGGATTGGTAGGTCAAGCACAGAATCCACCCCTGTCTAGTCTTTCCATTGTGTGTGTTGTTGTTGTGTGTTCCATCATGTCTATACCTCACACTCTCTCTATCTCTTTCTCTCTCTCTCTCTTCCTCCTCCTAGAGTCCTCCTCGGAGTCCTCTCTTTCCCTGCTAGGCTCTCTCTCTGTCTCTCTGTCTCTCTGTCTCTCTCTCTGTCTCTCTCTGTCTCTCTCTCTCTCTCTCTCTCTCTCTCTCTCTTTCTCTCTCTCTCCCTCCCTCCCTCCCTCGTTCTTCCATCACAAAGATGCAAGACGTACTAAGGCTTCCAGAACAGGGCAGGAAGTCAGCCTGAAAACCTGCACTAGCGCACTGCACACGAATTGATGTACATGTATGACAGCTTCCCAGTTGCAAGCAGAGCCACAGAGTCACATGGCAGCATACTGGCAGCACCTGTGATTCATACATGGCCTGCTCCCCTCCCCCCCCCCCCCCCCCCCCCCCACACACACACAGTTGCCATTCCATGCACGCTGGCATGCCACTGCTGCCTGCGTGTGTCACATAGCACTGCATTGTGCTGTTCCCTGTAGCCAGGCCTTCTCACCAGGGGTCCTTGCCATGTCATGCATTGTAAGGAAGCCATTTGCCCCCAGGAAGACCCTTGTCAATAGGACGCTTCATATCAACGCACTGCATGACGGGTTTCTACATAATAAAGCAAATGTGGATGCCCTGTGGCCATGTGGGTGAAGTCCTCTCATCGTGTTCCGTGTTTGCATGGCGCTGGCAAGATAGGACCGATTGAAAACTAGGTTTCATGACGACTGACAGGTAGTGATTGGCTCCAGTTATACTCCAAACAGGACATAGACGGTCCTTTAGCGGTGTTTCTTTACTTTGACAGACCCCCGTGTTTGTGTGTCCCCGGCTCTCTCTGTGCTGACACTAATTTATCAGGTAGGGCACCAACAATAATAAATATTGTATTTCACCTGAAAGTAGTCTCTGATTTCCCGCCTTCAGACGGTACGTCTCATTGCGAATCTGTCTGATCTTGTTGGCACTAGAATGGGGCAATGTACGTGGAAGACGAGCGCTTCACGATCGAGCCTCTGCCGGCGTCCATGCTGATGGCCGAGTACAATGGGACGGGCGAGCCGCACGTAATCTCCCACTCCGACCAGGACGGAAACGGACAGCAGCAGCAACATGGCAACGCCAGCGCCAACAATGCCAGCAGCAATGACACAGAACGCTGCTACTCGCAACGTGAGTGTAATTGTTTACACTATAAGAGCATCCTACTTGCGGAGCAAACACCAAAAACATGGAACATGGATATGGAATACCGTTGTCAACAATACCATTGTGTTGTGAATTTGCCAAGATATCGGGTCCCCAGCAAGATTCTCACCCTCTTGCAATTATCATAAAATGCGTATGCCGCTGATGTGTGCTCTTCCTTGTTGTCATGCGGTGGATGCTTTGCAAGTGGGTATTGTCGCCGGGGCGTAATTTTGTTGTGAGCGCACAATCAAAAACGCGGCAAGGTAACACAGACATTTAGGGTGACAAGATTTCGGGAATCAATACTGAGAGCAGTGTTGGGGTATCCCAGTACATACAGCCCACTTCAATTAGAGATGTGAAGCTTGGGAAGAGGCTGACACCTAGTCATCCAGCCATCCGGGTCCGGGGTCATGTGTGAGCTATATACTGCACTGCTGTTCTGGGTCATGTGTGAGCTATATACTGCACTGCTTCCTCCCCTATAGCCTATATTGCACATTCCTTGGCTCTCATCTGTGCCTGCTCCTGCTGCTCCGGGTGGCTCAACCGGACTTTCAAGACCGTTGACATGTTCGTGAGTGTTACTGGACGCCATCTGCTGTCAAATAGTGCACTCAGTGTGCGCGTCAGGCCGATACGTCTGGAGCAGCTAACAGATGTGTCTGTTGAAGAGTTGAACTGGATCCCGGTTTCCTCCGAAATTGGGTGACATTGGGCGGTTGTCACATGCCATCCGTGGGTGGGTAGGGTGGTGCATGTTACCAGCATCTTCTCTTTCCTCCCATGCAGCTTTTTCCGCCTTGTCTCGGGCGTTTTTCAGAAACCTTCCCCTGCTGAGAGGTGGGATTGACTCCATTTAACAGCGGACCGGTTGAATGTCAATGCAAGCTTGAGGCTCGGCTTTCCACCAAAAGAATGACCAAATGATTTGCTAGGTAAAGTCAACATCCTAGCCCTGGCAACAGCCCTGAAGAATAACCAGTCATTTGCCAGGCTCTTCATGACAGTAGCAACAGCAGCACACTGATGGTGTGCTGGACCAGTTATCTAGTAGCTCCTTACAACTACACGTACAGTGAAGTGCTGGAAATGCCAGTACGTGATCACTATTGTCTACTGTTGGAGTAGATTGTTGTTGTTGCTGTGCAGCAGGTGCATACCGCACAGTAAAAGACGGACACTGAGACTGTATCTACTAGTACTAGTTTCACAGTCAGTAGTACAGCTGACAGGATCCACTGCTGGTGGTATGCAGGCCGCTAATAACATACTTACATCCATCATGTCACTGCTTCCCTGATTGATAGAGAGAGGGGGGCATCATTACGACTTCCAAGTACTCCATAAGCAGCTCATTTTGCTGAGGATCAAGTATGTCCTCACTTGAAATGATACTCTCCCTTAAATGCATGCCTTCTCAGTTACTGGGTTCCCATTTTGCTATGCAGTGGACTGGGTGACTGCTTTGCGGGTCATAGAGGCTCCTGTGCAGAGGCACGCAACAAGCAGTAGGTGAATATTCTGTACATGATCCACTTATGGCTGCAGATAAACAATCATCTTGAAGTAGACAAGTAGCAATAAGTACTAGTCAGTGTAGTGCCCTGCTGACAAGGGCGCAATGATTATGAATAATGATAATGTCTCTCCTAGATCCTGCCTTGGGGTGGGTTAGGCAACCATTTAGATGTTGCTATGGCCATCGTTGTGAGGCAGGGTGTGTAGGCCTCTGCCTGGTGCTTATTATGGATATCTGATGATTCCCATCGGCACCACTGCTGTTGTCAATTTTGGGCTTTGAGCATGCTGTAAAGTGTATTGCTCCTGTAAACATTTTGTGTTTGGCCTGGCCTATGGAGCCGTGGCTTCTCTATGGATGGCGTGTCATCTGTCTGCATGTGGAGGAGGTCAAGTTGTTTCCAAAGTACAGCATTTGTGGGGTTCAGGAATTGAGTTGACCGTTTGGATGGTCCAGTGTGTGGGTAGGGTAGGCACGGACAGAAGTACCCTGCTGACATTGAAAATTGGCACCCTGGCTAACTTTGAATGAAGCTAGTATTGAGTCCAATCCAGACTGTTGTTAGTATTGCACCCACACCAAAGTGGCCCTGAGCTAAATAGTGTAGAACAACTCATTGATGTCCCCTCTTCACTGCGGTGGCCCTGGAACAGAGAGGGTCAGCTGCAGACAGTAGTAATGTCGTCGTACTGCTGGTGATTGCCTGCAACTACTTTGTAGGTTTGGCAGTCTGAGTCATCCCTCCTGTCTGGGATGGAAGTAATTGGTGTCTTCCTTGGCATTTGAATGTCAGCGTCAGGGTTTCAGTCCGGCTAGGCCATGCTGTAGGGAGCCATATTAGTGACTGTGTGTGGTCAGCCTGGATGCTGTGATGTATTGTACCAGTTCCTGTTTTCGCATGTAGACTTACTGCCGTCACGAGTATGCGTTGTTAGTGCTAATAACTCTGGGTCAAATCAGGCACGTCTTCCCCTACTGCTATTTGCACTGCATATTTAACTGTAGCTGTGGCAATGACCAGGGAGATGGTCCTTGTTCACGATGGTGACTAGCCCTTATGCAGTATCAGTCTTTCAGGGCTGCATGTGCTCAATCACCCTAGGCTATCTTATCCCATTCGCACCTGCAGAGGACTATGCAAAGTACTCAGTACCAAGCTGATCAGTGGCGTATTGGCGTATGGCCCTATTGCTGCAAATTCATGTTTTTTTAAAGCACTTGTCCATATGATGTGCATGCCAGACACTATTCATGCATGCAAACAAGCTACATACATGTAGCAGTACTGGCCCGGACCTGTCTCAAGCCTTAGGCAGCTGCTGATCTTTGGGATTCCTTGACTTGTAATGGGGGGGGGGGGGGGGCACTGAAACTGAGCATGTTTTATGCAATAGTGAAAGCTCTTTTAAAATAAAATAGTCTATCCTCCCAAAATTGTCTTGTTTCACAGCTGAAGAAAGCCCCGTGGAGGTTGCCCCGGAGTATGTCACTCTGTCTTCCGGCGTTGAATCCACACATCCGGCAGTTCCGGGACTAGGAGAGAACGGAGCGCCGCTGAACCGGAGTCGCCGCAGTGCAGGCGAGGACGGCACAGCCGGCGCACGAGGTGCCAAATACTCGCTGGAGGTCATGCTGGTCCTCGACCAGGCCATGATGCGCAAGCGCAAGTTCCGAACGGCATCGGAAGCCAACACGTACGCCCTGTCACTGGCAAACCTGGTACGTGTGTGTTAGTCCGACGTAGCCCTGAGCAGAAATATCGATTGCGAAAGGGATCTTGTAGTTCCGGCTTTGTGCAATTCATATCTAAAGTTGAGCTTTTGAGGGAAACTATTAGCATTATTCCAGTGGTGTTTCGCTCCTGTCCCGAGCGATCTTGTGCTTTGTGTTACTTGCTTTCTTCTTCTCTAGGCATCTCTACATTTCAATAGAGGCATGCTGGGAATCAATCTAAACTTTGTGGTCGTCCGCGTCCTTATTGCCAATCGATCTGAGGTAAGCGCGTGCTATTGGCTGCCGTAATGCTTTGAAGGTACGGAAGGGCAAAGACTGGTTATAAAGTTGTCAACACCTCTCACTTCATTTCAATCTTTTCCAACTGCCTTCCAAGAGGAAATGCAAACCATTTAGGGTGTGAGTTTTGCTGTCGATGTGCTTCAAACTTGAAAGGATGTGCTTTACGTGACAGACCCGATTCAACACTGCACTTCAGCCTTCATTTCATTCTCATGACTGTTGGTACTACGTTCTTCAGGATGGTCTGCGGATTGGTCACCATTCGGTGAAGGCACTGCGCAGCTTTTGTCAGTGGCAGGAGAGTCGGCATTACACGCCCTGGGACAACCATCCCAGCCACTACGACCTCGCCATCCTTATCACAGGGTAGGCCATGCCGCATTCTTTACAACTTTCACAGTACACCTAACGTTATTACTCTTACAGGTTCGGGCAGGTGTGTCCAGAACCATATTGAGAGCACCGGTTGCCGCTACAGAGAACCTGGCGAACTAGGGCTCATGTTGGTGCCAGTCAGAGTCTGCAGCATTGGGATCCGTTGTTGCAGGAAATGTAGCCATGCACGCTGTCCTGCTTCTGCAGCTTCCATGGTGTTGCATTGCGGTCAGCTTGGCAGGTTCAACTTTTCCTGTCTGGGATTGCGGAGCAGACATGTCTCAAGATGCTCATTAGATGCTCATTAATAATGAACTCTGCCCTGCCCGGATATGCACAACCCGCATTCACGAGAGACCTGTCATGTCGTTGGACTCTGTTTTCGCTCCTGTGTTGTTCGGCACTAGTCATTGTCCTGTTAGGGTTGACCTTGCCCATGCCTTGCGCGTTTGTTTACTATGTCCTGCATGCATGTTCCTGTGCGTTGTGTGTCTCTTCACTTCAGGAAAGAGCTATGCCCACATCAGGACCATGCTGGTTGTGCTGAGCTCGGTAGGTGTAGCCCAAACATCACACGTTGACCCTAATCATAAGTAGACGTTATGCTTGGGCGGATTCCCTCCTCACTTTCCGCTGACTGAACCAGCAACAATAGCAGGCGTTGTTTGAGCTGGGCACTTGCCAATGGCTGCTGGATATAGCCATGACATTGCGCATTGTTTAGTGAACTTGGCATTTGCATTGTTTTCCCTTTGCCCTACTTCAAAAAGCAGTAACTGTTGTTGGCACGTATGGTACTGTGGCTGACACATCATTACCTGTACTGTGGCCTTTGTACTCAGGCAATGCCTAACGGAACACAAATTAATTTGTCACAGTCTAATTTGATTGGTCGGTCATCGTATTGCTAGTGTTTAACCCCCTCTGGGAACTTAATTATGACCCAGGCAACTTCCTTGTGCTTCTGATATGTTGCAAGTTGTGGGACAAGGGTAGATCTATGCTGTTACTACTACAAGTACTACCACTACTACTACTAGCATGCAGCACTGCTGTGTACTTGGCAGTAGGCAATACAGTAGTCCTTGCCGTGTGGCAGTTTGAAAATATCCAGTGACAGGATCACTAGCCTGCCATAACATGATGTTGGTGCCATGTGGAGCAGGGGAAGTGGCATGTGGAGCAGGGGAACTTCACACATTTCTTCCCGGGTGCAGCTGCCTGGGAGGTTGTAGCTATCCTTAGCAGTGCTAAGAGAGTTTCACACCAGAACCCATGCCTACTGTGTGGTATCCTGCTGTGCAGCATAGCTAGCATTCCGTACCTACACAAGGATAATTATAGAAACTCAGCTATTGCATCTGCAGGTGCTGCTAACCTGGGGAAACTTCCAAAATAAATAATTGACAGCACAATTTAAGTGCTACCTGCTGGGAAGAATTATACACCTGCACTTCAGCTTTTAGGGATTGATTACAGTGTCACAGTTTGATCCTAATTTGAAGAGTACACAAGCAATGGGGATTCTCTAACTCAATGTTGTTGTGGAATGTACTGTGAACAATTGCAAGATGAGTTGCCCTCTGGTGGGCTTTGAAAAAGCCTACATCCCAGCTGCTGTGCCGTGTGATATGCCGCCAACTTTGCCCAAAAGCGGCATGTTTCTTCAATGTGTGGAATTAATAATATTATGTGTGTGTGCTTGGTGGCGAGAGTTATCCCCTTCGTCCCACCTCCTGCACCTAACCCTTGCCATTCCCTGCGCGTCCAGTTGTCCAGCATGCAATGTTGCTTATTTGGTAGGGCTTGTGAGTTGTGAATAAGCATGCTGTGTTGACCATGTGGAAGGATATCCACACAGTGTAGTCACACTTACCGGTTTACTGCAGGATGCCCGTGCAGGTGTCCACATTCCCAACGCATTCTGGTGTAGACACCATCTGGAGCTGGTTGGGCAGCTTGGGACAAAAAAATAACAAACAGATGACTGGGATTCCTCATGGTATCAAGTTACACGCCTGTCCCCCCCCCCCCCCCGAGGTGAATTGAGATCTGGCGAATACACACAGCTAGCACCGCATTCATAGTGCACACCCGGGACATGAACTACAGATCAGTCAAATCCGATTTCGTGAATAAATTAAAAAGCGCCGAGTGCTACCCGGCCATAGCAACACAGCACTACTATGTGCACTCAAACATGATGCTACCTCATTCATACAGTCAACCATTGCGGGACAGTAAAGACCGCACAGTGCCCAATGGATACTATAGTACTCCATGAGGGCTAGCCCTACAGCCAGCCTTCTCATCTAAACTGTTTTGTTTATTCTCTATTGTGAAAAGAAGAAGGACAAAATGTTACGAGTTATGACTAACTGTCCACATAATTGGCTCACCATCCGAGTTACATTTATTCTGTATCTGAATCTTTGCATTTGCTATAGCAAGTTAGAGCGTTTTATGTGTATTTTACGAGACAGCTCTGAACCTGCAATAGTAATAAACACAGGTTGCGTAATGAAGCAAAAAGACACGAAAACGATAGTGTTCAAAGTTTAATACTGTTCTTGGTCCGCTTCTTAACCTGTATGCCTGGTGCATTGTTGCCGCTTGGTTGTGTGCCGTGCAGGACGTGCGTACGTCGGCGGCGCATGCTACCGCTACAGGATGTGCTCCATCACCTACGACTACGGTATCGGCACTGGCTTTGTCATGGCACATGAGACGGGCCATAGGTAAGCCGCTAAACAGTTTCCCCGCCATGACTTGTTAAACCTCCCGCATCACATGTTTATTGGCACTATGTCATCGTGATTGTGGAATAATAGTAATAATAATAGAAATAAAAAACCACCCGGCCGCTAAGCTAAGCCAGGCTAGAACTATGGTGTGCATGCATGGCAAGCCGCATGGGCAATGAATCAACGTCTTGGCTAAGAACAGTATAAAGAATACCTTTGACAGTACACTGGTTAGTATTATCGATTCTCCTTACCTTGCCGATACTCGCGTGGGTGCATGGTTTGAGGATTGTGAGTCGCCACACATGATCAGCCTGCTGATACTTCTTTTCTTGTAATAGGTCCACACCGTAATACTGATTGGCAATTTACACCATCTGTTGTCTTTTATTTTTTAATGTTTTTTTACGCTTCCAGTCTTAACCTTACCCATGATGGCCATCGCTACAACGAGAACGGTTGCCCGAGCGACAAGGGCACGATGATGACGGCAGTGGTGGCTGGCGGCAAGAACGTGTACACCTGGTCGCAGTGTAGCAAGAGAGAAGTGCAGAAGTTTGTCAGGTGAGTGTGTGAAAAGAAACATTCACCTGTGTAATTTCAAAATCGAATGTTGAGACAATAATATTGGGAAGGAAAGGAATATATGGATACGAATTAAGAGTAACTGTCAAGCACTGTAACTGTAGAGTCAGTACTTAACTCGTATCCATATGTACCTTTCCGTTCTACATTCACCTGTGTACTATATTTTGAATGGTAAGAAATTTGAGTGGAACTGCCAAGGTCCACTGTGTGGCCTTGAGTAGGTTTGCTTGCGTACTGAGACAGTAAGAGCAGCAATGGCTCTTTGTGTCATAAACTTGAGCCCCATGAACATTCAGGAAAAGTTGATCATCTCTGGCTGTAGAGGTTGTTCTAGAAAAATGGCAGAGTACTTGTATGTAACGATTTGGTATGCACGTCTGATGTTTGTATCATTGTTAGCAATTTTACGCCAACATGAGCATGCTTTTCTGTGTTCGCGGTACAGGTCCGGGCAAGCGTACTGCCTTCACGACGCACCCATGCGCAACCTGTCGCGGCCGTGGGAGATGACCGGCCGCCGCTACAGCGCCGACGATCAGTGCAAGCTGTGGCTGGGTCCAACGTCGGCCGTGTGTCCTTTTAGCTATGTCAGAGATGTAAGTAAAGTCCTACTATGCCCAAGTGTTACGGTTAGCATTAGACTGATCCATACTGAAGTGTCTACATCCATAGGACCAGTACCCCTCTCGAGATCAATACACGGGCGTCAATGTGAGGGTGGTGATATGATTATATCCTAATTCATGTCTGTATTTGTCTTGGCTTGATATCTACTTCACAGTAGCGTTGAACGTGCTCCTTTTTGTGTTGTTGTTATTGCCATCGCTTGTGCAGAAACGCTGCTCGGAGCTGTGGTGTCGCAGTTCAAACAACTACTGCCGTACGACACACGTACCGGCGGCTATGGGCACTCCGTGCGGAACGGGAAAGGTACGGACACGGCGGCGACGTCCGTGTACATGTAGCCACCTGTTGTTTCTGTCACAGCTAACCAGGGATATTGTGTACATTTTTTATTGGTTGTTTTTCATAACATTCTGTGGTAAGTCTTCCCTGTGGATACTTTGGCTGGGAGACTTGAGTGAGATGCTGACTATCCCATACTTTGTAAGGAACCCTTGTCTGTTCTAGACTGGAGAAACCCGTTCGATTTTTCTGTTCGCACCCTTCTTTTCCCGTCCTATAGGTTTGTTACTTTGGGAACTGTGTTGCTGACACGTTTCGCCGGCAAGCACAACCAACAACACGAGCGCCAAGACCTGTGGTCATCCCTGCGGTGGAGAGGACCGAGCCACCACCACGCGTGGAGCAACCCAATCGGCCAAACTTCAGCATCCGCACCAAGGAAACGCCGGCGCGCCGTACGCGGCCGCCTCCTGTGCAGGTGCGAGTGACGACCAAGGTGGTGGTGGCCACGACGCAGGCCCCGCCGCCGGTGATTCAGCCACAACGAACAGTGTGGGGAGATTGGATGAGTCACGGCAAGTGCTCCAGAACCTGCGGCGGTGGAATCCAGTTCTTCATTCGGAGATGCTTGCAGGGCAGGTGAGTTTCCGACGCATGGCGGAGCGTGCTTTGCAAGTTCATAAATATTGTGTGGAGACAAATGACCATTGTACATCAGGGGCATATCTGGTCCCCCTTTTAGGGGGTGCATGGCCGCGTACGTGTAGGAAGGCTGGTGCATGTCATTCATGGTCATGATGTGCATGCTGAACCTAGGTCGAAAAATGTTTAGGGGAGGGGGCACCTGCCCCCCCCCCCCCCCCCCCCCCCCAGTGCCCGATGGGGGCTATGCGCCTGTACATACATATACTTGAATAAGTAGACTCACACAATAGAGTGACTACCATTTCGATGGACTGAAATGTGCAATAGTGAGACGTATACAAGATGCATTGCAATCAGAAGCAAAAGTATATGTACACAGCTTTCATAGCGATCGATGCCGGAACACTCAGCCCATGCACGCACTGTGAAATGCTCTTGCAGGCGTTTCGTAGCCACGCAGAACTGCGATGGCGAGTGGTACCGCGTGGGCCTGTGCAAGACCAAGGAGTGCCCGGTGGAGTCGCGCGGCATGTACCTGAAGGAGCAGTGCATCCGGGCCGGCCGGCGCCTCTCCAACGACCCCAGCGAGGAGTGGTTCCCCGGTTACATGGCGGCACAGCGCTGCCAGCTGCAGTGCGTCTCCTCCATGAACCGCACGTACAACAGCTACGTGGAAAACGGCACGCCGTGCAGCTATCGCTTCAACAACCGATGTGTCTCCGGCAAGTGCAAGGTACGACCTGCTGTGTTGCTAGTACAGCCGAACTGCTTTTAAGCAAAGCTACCTTAGTGTCTTCCACATTCTGCTAGTGTTTGTATTCGCACTATGGTAGAAGTTAAGGGGGTATATTGATACCTGTCCTGCCATGTTTTCAACGTACTAGTACTCATATCTGCTGCAATTTGCTGATTTCTCTTCTGTTCAGGCATTTGGCTGTGATAACAAGTACGAATCGTCGGCATTCTGGGACAAGTGCGGAGTGTGCAAGGGTGATGGATCGACGTGTCGCCAGTACTTTGGCCTGCATCGGCCAACGACGCCGGGTTCCAACTCCACAGTCCTGCGTCTGCCCAAGGGTGCACGGTCCATCTACATCAAGGAGGGAGCTGCGGTCGATTCTGCGTTCTTGTGTGAGTGCCCAATGTGTGCATCTGTAAGAGACCCAGCTCACTCGACAAATCAAAAAATTGATCAATGCAGTGTGCTGGCTCTCCGTAACAATAGCTCCAGGCAGCAACTGTACTTTGAAGTGTGTGGCGAGGTCACGTGACAATGCACATGTGTGATTTATTTCACTTTTTTTCGCACACCTGTTAGCTTGTTGCATCTACTGTACCTTACACTGAAATTTCACTGCAATGTGTGTGTTCTGACTCTGCTTTCTCTCACGTAGACGTTCGTCATCTCGGTGGCAAAGTGGCTATCGACGGTGCGTGGATGCGGGGACGGAAGCAAGACGTGCTCAAGGTATATCTAGCCGGTACCGAGTTCACCTATAAGCAAGCGCCTCGTCGTCCAGAAGTTCTGACGAGCTCCATAGCTCCTCTCAATGAAGACCTGGTCGTGGAGGTGAGGAGCTTGTTCGGGTACCTGAAAAATTACAATGAAGTCATGGTGAACCATTAACTTGCTTTTTACATCAACGGAGTGTGAGCTTACCACATCACCCTCACCGCTAGACACTGCCTCTGCCACCCTGGTATGATCAGGCATGGTGGTGGCCTAGCATGAGTGAAACTTCTCTAAGCTGGTCGTGTTAATGAATTTCTAAACACAGCTCTATGACCCGTAATAACGCGGATGTGCAAACTTTTCTTTTCTCAACATCAAGAGCTTTCTGGCTCTGGGTAAAACTGTCTATCCATGTCAGATCACCTATATGATTGTAATGCTAGTTCATTGCTCACTGTGTGAGCCTGGTTGGTTTACTTTGCGTTCTTCTCAGGTGGTGCGCCTGCGCCAGACATCCCTGTCAGTGCAGTGGCGCTTCCTGATAAACCCAGACGACAAGGACGAGGACTATGTCTGGTCGCAGATACCGGAGAGGTGCTCGGTGACGTGCGGCAAAGGTAAACACCACGATGCGTTGCCTAACTGTAACTACATATCTTATGGCAGTGGACACCATTTATTCATTTTATTCCAAGCAACACATGGCTGGGGTAGCCAATGACCACTTGCGCGTGGCGATTGCAGGGTTTTCATAGCCAACCATGCTGATACCCTGTAAATTACGTGCACTGACTGATTGTGCATTCTAGTGAAACTCGTTGGAATACTGTTCAACCCTGCATGGTCATGCTCAGAATGGCTCGTGCACCATTAAATTTTGTAGCTGGACCCACTCCTGAGCTTTAAAAGTATCCAAAAACGCTGCTAAGCTTGGTTTTGCTTTTTGATGGCTGCCGCAGGAACAAGGAGGACGAAAACATTCTGCATACGTCGCAGCACGCAGGAGCAAGAAGAGGATCAGTTCTGCTCCACGGCCGGACGAAAGCCGACGGACAAGACAACAGACTGCACTCTCGACAGCTGCCCGTCAGGGTGAGTTTAGAAAATGTCAACCAATACTGCGCTGGTTGCTCTGCACATGTACAACAAGGAAACTAGCAAGTGAAATTTAAGTGGCATGCAGAAGCTAATGATTGTGTATCCATAAATTTTGTGCATCATGAGGCTTACTAAATACTAGTATTAATACTTGAAGCCTGCCATTCGTTGATGAATGTGGCCAGATTTGGTGATATAGAGGTGATGCGCTGCTGTTTTGTGTGGCAATGTGTCTTGCAGAGCTGACTGGGTGACAAGGGCGTGGACGGAGTGCTCCAAGAGCTGTGATGGTGGTAGCCAGTGGCGACGGGTGCCGTGCCACGCTAGCGGAAAGGGTGTCTCTAAGTCGCTGTGCCGTAAGCCAAGGCCGCGCACTTCACGCAAATGCAACCTGGATCCGTGTCCACAAATTGTAAAGGTAAACCTGCAAAAAATTCAAAAGTGCGCGCACACACAGATGCAAAAATTGTTTTATGTTAAAATTTGGCGTGTCCTTTAATTTTTTCTTGTCATACCTGCGATCGTCATGACAGAAATGTCTGGGGAGGACGTTTGGTAAGATGTCATTCAGTAATACTACATGTATATATTCTAATATTCATGTAGTATTATTGAACGACACCTTAAAATTTCTCTCATCCTCCTTGCCGTTAAATAGACTGTTGTCCACGCTGGTGACGCAAATGGTTGCGGCGCATATAGGAACATTACCAGCTAAGTCTTATGGAAAGCTCCGGGTTCCAAACTTAATAGTGGATTCCACGTTACTTGTTTGTGAATTGTCCTGTTTGTTTGCCCACAGGTGCATGGGAAATGGTCCAAGTTTTCACAGTACTCAATGTGCACGCGTACATGTGGCGGTGGTGTGCAGTACAGGAGAAGAACGTGTACTAACCCAGAGTAAGTTGTCATCACATTCCTGCTGGTGATGGAGATGGTACCGTTGATGTTGCTGCCACTGCTACTGCTGCTGCTGTAACAACACGTGCGGCCACAATGCCGCTTGCCGGCACGTCTTAAAGCAGGCTAACATTCCTGGAATGTCTATCTGACTGAATCTAGCCTAGTCATATCCTGGATTCGCATGTACCTGTCCATATCGTAATAGTATGCGTGTTCAGACCAGTGCGGCAAAGCCAGGTGAGGCGCGACACAGTTTCCATGGTGAAATGTTCGTGTGACATTCATCCGGGCGGAACCGCGACGAGTAGACATAGTATTAACGGTAGCAGTCCAGAGACATTTTTCACCCTCACCTGTCCTAATGTGTGTTGTGCCGTGCTGTTACACCTGTCCTAATGTGTGTTGTGCCGTTCTGTTACAGGCCCCGAAATGGCGGTGACTACTGTGAAGGACCGTCGCTGACAGCACGCGTTTGTAACTCACAGGTAAGGAGGACTGTACACTTCCGGGGCGCTATATTTCCAAGCATCCAAAGGAAGACATGTCTATCGAGTACAACATACTGTGAAAAACAACTCAGATACTTACTGTGGAATGTCCTACTGGTCTTCAGCCTTCTCACCGGAGTCCGAAAGGATAAACTGTTCTATGTAGTTCAGAAGGAGGTGCACAAAAGAGCTTTTCTCGGAAAGTGCCGACTGTGCTGCATTTGGTTTCTCTTGTTGAGTGACCGAATGCTCCCAGTTTTTCTTTTTAATGATATTGCAGCAGGTTTTATTGATTACACGTGCATGTACCTGTGTGTAAACTTGTATTATGCGGGTTGTGCTTGCAGGAGTGTGACAGCATCGTGGACTTCCGAACGGAGCAGTGTGCCGCGTACGGCCGTCGGGGCAGAACTGCGGACGGCACCAAGTGGATCCCACATCCTGAATGTAAGGGCACGCCGCACGCACGTTCACGTAACGTTAATGGACTCTTCTTCTCAGTCTTCTGTTGCTTGAAGCGAGCGTATGGCTGCTGCGACACGGCGACCTAACCGCTTATTCTCCCTTCAAAGTATTCCTGCTGTACATGAGTGGATGCATCCTTACCTGGGAACAACTTGATATGAGCTTAGCTCTGCTCTTGTCTAATGCTGACCCCAAGAAGGGTTGGGTCATGACTTTCCCTGAATGTGGTGTGTATTTGGTTTGCGGTGCGTGTGTGTTTTATACAGACCTCAACCAATGCAAGCTGGTCTGCACGCCGAAGGGAGGAAATCAGCCCGTGGTCAAGAAGTCGCGCGCTGCCGACGGAACTCGCTGCCATCCGTTCCTCAACGACAGGTGCACGTTTGGCTTCTGCAGAGTAAGCAGCGACTGCCTTAGTCTACCTGGGCTTAAAGTGAATTGTGTGTTAAGACGACAGCAGTGTTCAGAAAAGAGATCAGGGAGTATGGCAAACTTGGCACGTCAAAACTGCATACCGGAGTACTTGAATACATAGAGAGAAAGCAACTGTAGGTAGGGAGTTAGACCAGGTGGTGAGAGTAGCTGGTACAGTGAAACCTGTCTACGACGACCGCTCAAGGGACCTTCAAAATCTGGTCTCTGTTACCAGGTGGTCTCCTTATTCAGGGTCATTTGACTAGAAATAGCATCCCTTGGTCCTAGTTCCAGTGGTCTTCTGGGACAGGTGGTCGCCTTATCAGTGTGGTCGCATTGACAGGTTTTACTGTAGCTCTTACCTGCCTATGGTACTTTTGTACACTTTGGTCAATGGCGGATGGATCTAGAGTGACCTGGAACATAGTACATAAAGAAAAGAAGAGATCAATGCCGTAGGGATGGAAGAGGAAACTCATTGCAACTTTCACACCTTGGCTTGGCTTATTGGCATGGGTACTTTTCATGCAATGGATTGTCATGCGTGTTTGTGTTAAAATTCTATTCGGGTGATGTGTATGTGTTTGTGTGTGTGTGTGTGTGTGTGTGTGTGTGTGTGTGTGTGTGTGTGTGTGTGTGTGTGTGTACCTTGCATAGACTGTGGGATGCGACAATGAAATCAACTCGGATGCGGTGGAAGATCGATGCGGCGTGTGCAATGGCACCGGGAGCACGTGCCAGGACTTTGCCAGTCGCTACAACGTCAAGCATTTCGTCAAAGGTATTACTATGAGCGCGAACGTTGGTTTATGGAAATCTTAACCGTGACGGCTGGCTGACTTTGGCCGTTTGTATCAAGGGCAGCAGGCATTGTAACGTAATATACTGCATACTACACTGGTGAAGTTCCCCTAAAGATAGTTCTCTGGCAGCTATCCGGTCAGTGCATGAACTGGTGAAGCTGGAGACGTGAAAGGCCCACACTCACACATAGTTATGGTCCGGATCACCACACTGATACGTTCTTTAATATGGAGCTTTCCCATCAGTCTTTGAGGTACTGCACTAGCAGGATAACGGAAGCGATGTGTTTTACCAATTCTATGTCTATGCAGTGTACCATATTTGTGTAGTTGAATTTTCTTCTTCTGCCTCTGCCGCCACTGCCACTACTGTTGCTTCTGTTCCTACAGGTGTATACAGAGTGTTCAGGATTCCCAAGGGTGCACGGTTCCTGAACATCAGCAAATCAGCACGATCAGTCAACACTTCACTTGGTAAGTCAGCAAGCACAGTCAGCCCCTACTACTCAGTAGCTGTTTGTTTTTGTCCACATAATTATTTATTTTACGAGTTGGGTTTCTGAATAATAGTAATAAGAATAAAACAGTGGCAGACCAGCTGCTGCGCCCTACAACTTCAGTGCGGGAAAACCTGTAGGAAGCATTGCGTTGGTTGTGAAACTGGTCACACGTGTTTCTGTAAAGGCCAGCACATTGACGTGTACTCAATGGTGATCACTCTGGGAAGTTAGTTGTCTTCATCCATTGCAAATACTTGTCTGGATTGCTGCAGTTATTATTGTGCTCTGAAGATCGCCTAAGCATAAAAGGCAGAGTAACACCATATTACCTGTTATTACCTGTTATTACCTGTTCTATTCCGTTCCCAGTGCTGACTTTTCTTGTGTGTGTGTGTGTGTGTGTGTGTGTGTGTGTGTGTGTGTGTGTGTGTGTGTGTGTGTGTGTGTGTGTGTGTGTGTGTGTGTGTGTGTGTGTGTGTATGCATGCTCTCTTTTCTGGCCATGTCCTGTGTGCCGCAGTGCTAGCCGACATAGCCGGCAACATCCTGCTGTCTAGCGAGATTCTACCAAGCAGCGCGGGAGCACGGCGCAGCTACGGACCAGTGCTGACCGCGTACGCAAACTACAGCCGGGTCGCCGGCCAGCGAGAGTACATACAGATCATGCGGCCAACCACTTCTGATCTTGTCATTATGGTGAGAAACTGCTGCTATTGGTTTTGATGTCAACTGCGGGTACTATGAATCTTAGTTTTCCACATTGGTTTGCAATGGCAGATATGTTTTTCATAGCTATCTATCTAGAATGTGACTTTGACTCTCGGATAATGCATAATTGCCACGGCACGTGCCCTGCCAGCATTCTCTCTTTGTCTCCATCTCCCTCACACACACCAACACACACACACACACACACACACACACACACACACACACACACACACACACACACGGAGCTATGAAGCCAAGACCTCTGGTCGGCTGAGCTTAATGGGCCCCACCACCACACTCCATTATTCACCCCAGTGTCTGGAGATATGTGGATTTTGTAGAAAAGAAGGAAAAAACCCCAACACACACACACACACACACACACACACACACACACACACACACACACACACACACCGGTTCAGGTTTCTGGATCCACCTGTCCACCTGTCCGTCGGTACTAACTGTATGTTCTTGCGTGCCCTCGTGTGTGTGTATATTTTAACTCAGTTGAATGTAAGTGATCAGAACCGAGTGAATCCTCACCTGAGATTTGAGTACACTATTGTACAGTCACTACACCGGGAGCCACCGACGTCGGAATTCTACACCTGGTCAAGGATAACATCGACATGCTCAGTCACTTGCGGCAGAGGTTAGTCATCGTTTAGTATAACTATCCAGCACCGCAATCACACATTCGGAACACATTCAGCATTATTATCATCCCACCTACATGCATGAGCAAAGAAAGTTTTCAAGCATCATAACTCACTAGCGCAGCTCAGCGGAATAAAACGACTTGTGAGCAGCTTGGCCATGGGCCTATAGGCCGTCTTCCCTCTCTGCACATATGTTGCTTGCAAAACACACTGCATTTTCCACTTTTTAGGGAGTCCTCGGAAGACAGTTAACCTAAAACCCTTCGAAGTGCTGATGAACGCATGAAAGTATGCCATTGCAATTCACTCCACATTTTAATATCAGCAGCTAACTAGTGTGTTGTCGCCCTCTCTATTTCTGTGTCTGTACCACGTTCAGGAGTAGCTACCACCGTGTCGAGGTGCTATCGTAAGCGCGACGGTGCGCTGGTCGACAGCCAGTACTGCCGCACGCTCAACAGGCTGCCGACAGTGCGCACGTCACGTGCCTGCGAAACTGGAATTACATGCCCACGACGGTACGGACAGCAGTTAGCAGCAATGGGTTGTAGTTGTGTGCTCGGCGCATGTATACATGTCATTCAAAGTATGTTAAGTCCTCTCTGCGCACAAAGGGCAGAGTTCCTCGCAAGTAAGGTGGGACAGAATCGTCATTCATGTCATTCAATCAAGTGAGAGGGATAGACTTCTGATGATGGAAGTTCTAGTGTCTTGTGTATGTTACTACATTGGACACACTGTTGAACGTGAGCACTGGGTGTGGAACATCTACGAGGCTGTACACTTAGTTGAGTTGTATTTTCCTGTGCACCATGTTTCCCTGGTGTACAGCTACACGTACGAATGGAGCACCGGAGCGTGGAACGCTTGCTCGTCCAAGTGCGGCAAGGGCATACAGAACCGCACGGTGCAGTGCAGGCGAGCGCAGGACCGCATCGCCGTGCCGAACCGCTACTGCCGGCGCCAGGGACTCAAGACGCCCAACCGGCGGCAGTCGTGCATTGGCCGGCGCTGCGCCATGCCGGCGCCGGCCTGGATAGTTGGCTCCTGGGCATCGGTAAGCCATGCTTGTTGCGTGTTGGCCACAATAGATGATATGCCAAATAGCGTGGAACTAGACTTGGGACGGCATTGCAGAGTAGTTGCTTACAAAGTTCAAAGTTGTATGGCTACTTGTGGCTCGTGCTCCTACAGAGCTCAAGGCCTATCCTGTACACATCGTTGTATAATTTGTATGCAACTGGTGAGCAATCCCAAGTCTAGTTGCACGTTATTAAATTTTGGCATTATCATCTATCCGACTGGGGTACCGCTGGAATTATGTCATGTGTACTGATGCTCGCTAACGCCACACACATTCTTTGGCTGCATGGCTAGCTAGGCTCTGCTCACACACTGAAAAAAAGCAAGTACATCGTACGCAGTCCGGTGTCTGCTCTAGGATTTCAAACCAACCGGCTACACGTGTACCTGGTACAACTCTTGCAACCGGCTCAGAGCCGGGTGCGTAACAAGTGCGGCTACTGCTAACCTGTCACGGTGTTAGTCTGCACCCCCTTGACGTACAAAAATGTACTCGCCATGTCCTGTACAATACTCCCAAGTGACTCGGTGTTCCTTTTCCAACGGGTCCAAGTACCCCAACCGGGTCCAAGCACCCCCCCCCCCCCCCCCAACCGGGTCGCTGACCCGCCTGACCCGGCTCTAGAGCAGACACTGCTTACGTAAGCGTAAGCGAAAAGACGTTAGAAATATTCCCTAAATAATTGGTGTTGTGTGTCGTGTGCCCTGTGCGTTTATGCTTAGTGTTCAGTAACGTGTGGCACTGGTAGACAGACACGGCAGGTGACGTGCCAACGCTATATGCCCAACGAGCAGTGCGACGGCAGTCCACCGACCAGTGTGCGCACCTGCCAGCGCGGCACATGCCGTCCACCGCCGCAAGCTGCTAACCGTAAGTCTCCAACTGGGGCGGAGGGAGAGAGAGAGTTCACGATACAATCACTTGTTAACCAGTCGCACTTTGTTTGACAGAACGGCCAGGGGACTCCATTACTTGCACGCCGCAATCATCCAACTCACTCACATTGCAAAGCTAATTCCGAGAGCTAAAGTGCTGAGTACATAAAATTGGACCTCACACGGAACTAATCTAGGCTGCATGCCAAGCCCATGAAGTAACAAATGCAAAGCCCGATGAAGTTGAGTTTCACAATACTAGTGTTCGGCAACGGGTTAAGGGGATTGGTGTAAGATCACCCTGAAACACAACCTGGCGTAAGATCACTCTGAAACACAACCTGTGAACAATGAAGATAATTTGTTTGCATTTGCTGACAATGTGCTTATCGATGTACACTCTCCACTGCCACTGTCTGCCTTCTAGATGACACACCGCACTGCCGGGACCAGCGGCCCGACGACTTCTGCAGCCTGGTTCTCAAGTATCGCCTGTGCAAGGAGGGCACGGAGTACTTCCGTCTCTGCTGCCGGACCTGCACCGAAGCCAGGCGACGCGGATAGGCACAATCAGCTCCAACGCACAGTCAGCCACGCGCAGCTCCTGCCTCACCATGCCAGCAAGCTACTTATATGAGAGAGAATCTTGAGGCGAACAAAAAGAACTCTTCCATTTTCAATTTCTGTTTCTATAATCAGCGACAACATGACCAAAGAATTATATGTGAAAAGTAATTTGCTGAGAACTGAATGTTTTTATCTATCGGCTATCCCCATTGCACAGTCAGAATCAACCATCCAGATACATTCCACGTCCGAACTAGGAGCTCTCACTTCCTCACCAGATATTGCGTTATACACATCATCGAATCTTACCAGTTGATACAACATGCAGCTTACTTGAAGTATTCTCTCCTGATACAGCCCCCAGCACCCTCCTGTACACAGCTCCCAACAATGAAGTGCAACTCTTCCTTGAAAAGCGTAGTTAAGAAAAGGTTGATTTTGGCGTGTCAAATCCAATTAAATATGAAACTGTTCTCTGTAGCATGGTATGGATGGTCCTATGGCTTTTCGTTTCCATATTAATTTGATGATGGCAATGATCATGATAATAATAATATGATGCTGCCATGATATTTAAATCTGATCAGCGAAGCGAACTGGGCTCATGAAAGAATTGTTTGTGTGTGCTGTGCGTTTCGAGCAATGGGTATACAAAATTTCATGATTTCTGGAACTAGTGGTGGTGCTAGGAACAAAACTAACTGCGTGGCACGGATAATCAAAAGCGACACGAGCATGGACCTAACAGCCTCCGTTATCGGAGCATGGTATGGCGGAGGCATTTGGTGCTGCATGTAATGCCTATACTGCAGATGCGGCTAAGCCAGAGCGGACGCAGACACTTTAGTTGGCATTACAGTGTTGCGTGTGTGTTGCGCAACAACCAGCAGTCCACAACCAGCAACTGTTGGAACGTTGCTGAGCTGGAAACAAAGTGAAGCAGCAGCAGCAGCACCGACGTGGCGTTTGAACTCACCGTCGTCTAGACTCCCTTATCCAGCATGCCAGAGCAGAGAGAACATGATCAGTGTCCGCCGCCGTGAGCCTACGGTGAGATCCGGTGAGATCCGGGGAATAGGTGCACATACATGACAGTACATACTCCATGGCAATGCTGGCATCTCAAATAGATGGACTCACACACTCCATGGCAATGCCGGCATGTTGAATAGGTGGGCACACACACACACACTCCATGGCAATGCCTGCATCTTGCCATATGCAGCTGATGCTGCCACCGGGCGGACCGGAAGCCGGGCGACACGTACGAAACTCGGAGAACGCTAGCACTCGCAGCAGCAGCAGCAGCAGCAGCAGCAGCGCACGCGAATCTCCGCCGCGCCTTGTGCTATCTGACAGCCAAGTACCACAGGCCACCGACCGTGTAGATGGTGCTCAGGATAAGCATGTAATCCGTCTGCGGCGTCACCTCAGTCGGAAGTCCGGTCTCGTAATCGGACGCGTTCACGGTGATATTCGGGAGAGGCTTCAAGCCTGGAAAACGAAAACAAACGACAAATCCAGAACGGAAGTGCATCAACAACAGTTACTGCTGATCCAGAAATGTTAGCACTTGAAACATCTTCATACTTTGAGCCCCAGAATCATTCATATGCACATACAGTTCGTAGAGGGGATAAGCCGCGTCAGTACGAGTGACCCTGGTAATTTGACTAATTTGGTAAGCATTTAAATTTCATATGCATTCGGAATATTCAAAAGAAATTAAATTATCACGTCTAAAACAAGATACAGTGAAACCTGTCTAAGACGACCGCTCAAGGGACCTTCAAAACGTGGTCTCAGTTACCAGGTGGTCTCCTTATCCAGGGTCATTTGACTGGAAATAGCATCCCTTGGTGCTGGTGTCAGTGGTCTAGGACAGGTGGTCGCCTTATCCGAGTGGTCGCCTTGACAGGTTTTACTGTACGCTCGATTTACATTACTATGCATGGTTGGACCGTACTACGGTGCACAGCAAGAATGATAAACACTCTAGTGTTGGTGTAAAAAATGAAAGCCATTCGAACTTGCTCAAGCAAAGCCATGGCTGTGCTCCACGGCAGCTCGAAAGCGCAGAACTACTAAATAGACCACACAGAACGGGAGCAACAGGGCCAAGTCGCACCCACAGGCCAGCAACAGGCTAGCATGCACAGCCGCTGAACTCACCAGTGTGCTTGGACACAAAGCTGGACATCTGTTGCAGGTCCGACCAGTCAGTGAATGAGCGTGCAAAATAGCGCTGCTTGTGCTTGTGTAGCAGTATGACAGTCGGGAGACCAACCACGCTGTAGATGTAGTGGATTCTGTTGGGCGGACAACAACAACAACAACAACAACAACAACAACAACAACAACAACAACAACAACAACAACAACAACAACAACAACAACAAAATCCCTTATGGGCGATGGTGCCATCGTGAGAATAAAGAATTCAACAACAACAACAACAACAACAACAACAACAACTTTCTCTTATTGGCCACAGGCCATCGTGAGAATAAAAGATTTCAAACAACAACAACAACAACAACAACAACTTTCTCTTATTGGCCACAGGCCATCGTGAGAATAAAAGATTTCAAAAAAACAACAACAACAACAATATCTCTTATTGGCGATGGTGCCATCGTGAGAATAAAGAATTCAAATTCAACAACAACAAATTGGCGATGGTGCCATCGTGAGAATAAAGAATTCAACAACAAAGCACAGGAACGACAGTTTCTACCAGTGCTACTGGACAAGACAAGTCCCATGCATCCAGTTACACACCACATAAATACAGATGGCAATTGCCTCCCTGCCCGAGCCTCTAGCTACATACAAATCACAAAAACTCATGGCCGGTATCAAGACAACGGCAGCACAGCAGTATGCTACGGGGACTCACGTGCTATTCTCGTCGGCGTTGGCGGCTAGAAACGGCAGTGCCGGATACTGCCGTGCCAGCGCACTGTAAACGGGCGAGAGCTTCACCGAGAACGGGCACGTCGGCGAGTAGATCATCAGTACGGAGCACTGGCAGCGCTGCTGTGTGACTTTATCCTTCCCACCGTCCTCGGTGGTGGTGGTGTTCGTACTGGTGCCGTTAGCATGGCTGCTATTGCTGCTGTTGACAGTGCCGGCGGTGGCTGCCTGCGGTGTGTCAGACTGCGTGGTGGGGCGGGGCGACGGCGACAGCTGAAAGACAGAGGCCGGATGCTGCGACAGCAAGGCCTCGTCAAAGTCCCAGAACAGGTCCAGGCTGAGCGGCAGCGGTCGCTTGAAGCGGATGGAAACGGGCGCGTCGCTGCGCACCGGCCCGACGTCCCAGGGAGAGCATTGGCGGCCAGCCATGACAAGAGCAAGGAAGCGGTGGCGAGCGGATGCCGAGCATGGTCGCGACATGTTCCATCTCATCGCCTCTTGCTCAGCAACGGTCGGGCAGTGCTTGCGATCGCAGCAGGCCAGCCGGTGGATGAACAAACTCAGCTGAGTGAGATTGACCAGCTTCACAGAGCCATAGGTCTGACCTGAACAACACATGTGGTGCACACAAGTAGACAGAAAACCCCAACACTCCTGTACTTAAACATACATGTACACTCATACTAGAGAATGTTCAGTATATACGCTGCAAGGCAAAAGCAAAGCTTTTATAATAATCTCACAGATGCATCACTGTGTCCCAAATACAGGCCACAAACTTGACCAGTCGGAACACACAAGCTCGCACTGTATACAGCGGCAAGGAAACGAAATGCACGAGACATTGTCCACGATTCCATCAAAAGGGTCGCTGGCATGTAACTGTTAAGACACCATGACTCATGAGTACAAAACGCCCAAGAGTGCTCAACGACACTATCAGTTCTGTCCCGACAGAATTTCAAGTTGACGTCATTTTATTATAGCATTGTATGTTGCAGACGAATTATCAGACGTATTCGGGACCTGTGTTGGACAAATCCCCCATTTGATCCTGTACAAATCAGTGCAAGGAAATACGTGTGATGTGCTGACACCCAGTAAAAGCAGTGTACATCACGCGTGCGAGACGCACTGCATCATAAAAATGATGTCAACTTGGAAATTCTGCTGGGACCGCACTGTACGCGGGAGTTGCACACTATTACCTGCCCCTGCTTACACTCCAACTAACATACACTGACTCTAGCAAATGTACACAACACTCCACAGAGTGGGCAACTGGTGATGGGTAGCCATCAGGACCCATGACTCGCTTTCAGAATGACATCATTTTCATGATGTTTCATCACGTCTATGCGTGTATTCGAGACGGGAGATGGATCGCGCAGTACGCTTTGCGTCAAGCGAGTTGAAATTCTGGAAATGAGTCACGACTCGCGACTGAGGTTCATGTGGAGTGGCACACTCTGGGTAGTTGTGTACTCAAGGCTATAGTGAAAACCATCATCAGCGTAATGACCAGCACCTGTGCCATAGAGCTCTCAGCAACCCCTTGCTTGAGAATATCCCCAGGGGCACATACCGTATTTTCCGGAGTATAAGCCGCACCTACCGGTACCTGTATATCACCGTTCATTTGACCAAAGTAGTATTTTTTTTAGCATTTGTGGGATGAATTATGAGTGTTTAAAGTGCGGCTTATACTCCGGAAAATACGGTCCACGTTATGAAGACAGGTCCAACGCTCAGCAAGCCTGCAGCACAGCGCTCTTACCTGAGCCGTTGTAGCAGAGCCAGGTAAACGACTTTGTCTTGTTAGGGCGCTTGGACACGGCGGCGTCCTCGCCGTGTTTCAGGCTGCGGCTGTAAATGTACTTGGTGTACAGCGCCAGGCTCTCGGTGGCATTCAGTGATATGTTGTGCGTATAGTTGACGTTGTACGCTAGCGCCCACGACAGGTTTAAGCCCGTGTAGTGCGAGAGGTTCAGGCCCGAGTCGAGCGAGAGATTCAAGTCCTTGTAGAGCGAGAGGTTCAAGTCCTTGTACAGCGAGAGATTCAAGTCCTTGTAGAGCGACAGATTCAAGTCCTTGTACAGAGAGAGATTCAGCTTGGGATACGTGAAGTTGCTGTGATTGAAACCGGCCAGGAGCTCAGTCCAGTTCCGGCCAAACCCATCACCGAGGGAAAGTGACGGCTCGCTTGTCTGATCGTCCGCAACCTCGTCCTCGCCTTCACAATCGGAGTCCAAGCTCTCATCATCAGCGCCCGTCGCGCTGTTCACATTCTGATCAGAAACGGCTGTTTTGACCTTGTCTTCTTTGTCGTCATCGTCAGCATCATGGTCGTCGTCATCCAGTATGGCAGTGTCCAGATCATCACTGCCGTCCGCTGCGTCCGTGTTATCAATTCCCTCGTAATCATCGCCATTATCATCATCATCAATCAGAGATAACTGCTCACTCAGCACATCACGGTCATCCAGTGTATGGTCACTTAGCACATCACGGTCATCCGGTGTATGGCCTGTTGTAGCTGGTGCAGCCTGCTCACCTTCACCCATCACACCTTCCTGACCTGTAACAGGTAGGAATGCAAAGAAAGAAAAGCGGGTGACATTACTCTTGTAATTCTGGCAACTCGCATAGAACACACGAAACACACGTTGTGCTTCATCGTGATGAGTTGTGTCGCCCAAGTGTTGAGCAATACTGAGGATGTTCAGACATACAGGTGCAGCATGACTATTTTGTCATCCATTCCATGTTCTAAGGGCTCCTACTGCAATCAGGCGTTGGTTTTGGTTCTTTATCTTCTGGGCCATTCCTTGCACACATCACAGCAAACGTGACCAATGCTGTTGCCTGATAATCAGTGCACGGCGTCTGAATACAGAGAATGTCATGCAATCATTACAGCAATGTCGGTCGCCGAAGAACTGGGGAATCAGCCTTGTAGCTTAGACCGTTCTCAGTTTCATCTACCAACGTCTATGAACAGTTGAGCCACCATGTATGCATCGGTATGCTGTGCTTGGTGAAATTCTAGGCTGTTCGTTCTTCGCCACTCCGTCCTCCGGTGCCCAACAGTACTGACTGTAAAGATGTACAGTGGCACTGTGATAATAAATGCGCCAATGAGGAACAGTTCACTTACTAACCGAGGTACATGTGAGCACTGCTCAATGAAATCCAGTCAAGTTTCTCAAGTACGCACCAGGCGCGCCGCAGCCATTGACCTGCGAACACTGGGCTGCGAAAAGGTGCACGGCGCCAACTTGACTCTCGCAATCGGATTTCATTGAGCAGCACTATACTTCCTATCCGTACATACTACAGCATGGAGCAATGCACTCCTCCCGCTCTCTCTCTTTCTCTCTCTCTGTCTCTGTCTCTCTCTCTGTCTCTCTCTCGTGTCACAAACACTGCCCATACTAAGCATGTGTATAATCATGTACTTCTTATCAGAGTACGTACTGTACTGGGCAAGTTACAGTGCACGTTTGCAGTCTCCTATAGAGTGGTTTCACATCTATCACAGGATAATACGGGAGAGCCATGTTGGTTCCAACTCCACTCAACCCCTGCATCTATACGTCACATGATGTCAGCCATGTTGGTTCAAACTCCAGCCAACCCCTGCATCTACATGATCTATGGGTCACATGGTGTCGGCCATGTTGGTTCCACTGTCCACATGCCATGATCACCTTCGGCGCAAAATTTAGTCACATGACAAAGATGTGAAACTACTATATACAGGAAACCAGCCTTAGAGGACACCACCACATCTGGACTCATTCGCTCAGTCCCAACTGCCCCCTGAATACTTTTAGAATGTTGCAATGCCGAGTGTAGTAAGTGGAGCTCAGTTAGTACATACTCTGATAAGACATACTCTTGCTTAGTACGGACATTGTACGGACATTGTCTGGAGCATGGGTGTATTTGATCCGTACTGAAGTATGTTTGGGTCAGAAACACCTCGGATACTAAGTACACTTTCCTGCTGCCAAACAGAGTTCTACTGAAATAACCAGGACACGTCCAGAGACAAGGCCGGTATACCTGGTCTCTAGTGTAATGTACCCGCAGCAAGAGGTTGCACTGTACTAGCAACAGGGTAAAGAGTGGCCAGCTCTCCTCTTTGCCCTGGACGTGGACGTCATGCGAACGTCGTCGCCCTGGTGTGCACACACTCACCTGAACAGCAGCTGAAGAGGCACGTGGCGGCTAGCAGTAGCCATGCTACACGTCTCACTGCCATGCCAGCAATAAGCGATGTCCTTACTGGAACACTCTTCACAAACGCAGCAGTCCCGCACCCATCACCTACTAGTACTAGTGAAATGGATTCGAAAACTGAAGTCGAGTTTTCAGTGAAATTAAAAACAGGTAAAAAAAGAGTTCAATGGATCATGGAACAAGATTATACGGCCTAGGTGAACAACAACATGAACAAATAATTATTCCTTCCAAAGGCAAAGCCCAAATGTCAGGTATGAATAAGTAACAACCCCTCGATTACGATCCGAACTTGGCCGTCTTGCTCATAATTATTATAATGAAAATGCTTTCCTCGAAAAATGAACTGGATGCGTAGAAATAATAAGCAACCCCTATGATGTCATTGGACGTCATTGAAGGTAGTGACTGATGGTCGGCAGACAAGTCGACGCTAGTCAATTGGCTGTACATAGTCATTGGCAATGGCATTGCACATTTTTACTCTACTGAGTATTAAAGAATGCTAAGATTTTAATAGTCCCTGTTCTACTTCTAGTACTGGCGGCGCGGGCACTACCAGCACACGCGTACGAACTCGTACTCACCGTCACGAATGTGTGACCGATGATCATTACTAGCATAATAATATTATAATACTAGGCAAGGAGTCCTAGGCTATACATATTGCTAGCTACAGTACACGCCAAAATGACAGGAGAATTGAAGGATACGCAGATTAGTGCAGGCTGCAGAGTCTTCAAAAAGTACTTTATATCCAAAGAGTTATGTCCAGGCGGTATTATTTTATACTGGTGAAGTTTCCGTTACTGCGTTTTATAACAATGTCATTGCATAAGACGCACTGTTAAGGCCGGAAAACAAACCGTCCAAAAAAAGGTCACAGACACGTGCGCACACACACACACACACACACGCACACACACACGCACACACACACACACACACACACACACACACACACATACACACACACGCACACCTTGCTTTGTGTGGCTTGTCCTCGAAGGGAATAGCTACGGATGAATACCACAGTCATGAGCCTGTGACCTCATGCAATCACGGAGACAAATCTCTTGTTCGTTTGATGCCATTTTCATTTCCTCCTCGTCCACTGCTGCAAAGCTTTAGATGATCACAAGACTTGAGATCCTTGAAATTCTCCTCCGCTAACCCCGCATACTCCCATCATCTACTCTTGATGAAATTGCCCATGCTACCCACTACAAGTTTAATATCCCTGTTGCTAGTGAGTTTCTTATTTCCCTCGCAACCTCTATACTACTTATCTGCCGTGGTCGGCTAACACCCACTCTCTCCACATTGGCTGGTGGTCGAACGTCCCCACTGCGCCTTGAGATGTTGCTATATGGCCCAACTAGGTTGCACTCCACCATGGGTCTGCGCCAACCGCCAGCTTCCACCAGGTTCGGCAAGGGTTGCCTCGCGTTCCGGGGCGCCCAGCTGTGGAACACCTTACCCAGTGACATACGTGCCATCTCCACGCTCCGCCAGTTCCGCGCCAGCATGATCCCGCACACCCTTAGTACCTAGAGTACCAAACGTCCTATTTGATGATCAGCTGGCTTAGTTTTTCTCCACCTCTATCCTAATTACATCAGTCCCCAATTTCATTTATTACCGCTTTCTATCTGCATTCGCCACCTTTTCATTGGGCAGATCTGCCCGTTTGGTTTGCGAATTGAAATAAACACAACAACAGCAACATATAAAGTACAAAATAATTTTGTCCGTCCATCCGTCATAAGGTTCTTCTTCTGACCAGATGAGCCTATACGTAACCCCGCTTGCGGACACCAGCACGGACAGTTCGACAGCCCACCAACAATACTCCACAGAAGGAAGTAGTTTCCTGACAAGCTGGTTTCGCTCAATAACGGATCACGAGCCGAACACATCAAAGTAGACGAAGTTGCTGAGTGATAGGGTTGAACTAAAGAAAAGAAAAGAATGGCAGTTAATTAACGGTCCTCAGCGCTTGTTCAGCACCTCCATGAGCGGCACTGACTCACGCTGCTACTGAGTATCTAGTGTTCACGAGGTGTTTGTCGCGCTGGAAACGGAGCGTCTCTGTAAGTTTGGATCCCTTTTGATGGTGCCTGGAGAGCACTCATATATCAGGTGGTGCTCTTCAGGCACAATCTTCCTCAGCCTACTCAAGCTCAACTGATGAGGGCCCTTGAGGGGTGAATTCCCCGAAACACTATGACTGTATTGAGCAGTGGCCCAGTCTGGCATGGCGGCGACACATCCAGTGCCTCCGGGAGCTCCATCACCTGGTCCACCACCAGACCACTGCCCTTATGGAGCTGGGCTATAGTCTCTCCACCAGCGCGCGGCGCCCCTCCAACTTGTCCCGCCTGCCAGGGCGAACACCTACTCGCGTGCCACTTTCCTCTTTGTTATACCGCTGCCACCTGGAATTCTCTCCCCACTGACATTAGAACCACCCAAAATAGTCATTGCTTTGTGTCTCGTGTCCGTACATTCTTTGCCAACACCCGCTTTGAACCCGCTGGTTTCATTCCTTCCAGAGTTTCTACAACATAGTAACGAATGTCATGGCTGATTTCTACACTACGCATTTGTTGTAACCCTTCCTCTTCTCAATCTATATGATTGTTATAATTTTGCAGATATAATAATTCTCAGTAAGCCATGAACGGAGACCCCCTCGACTTAGGCCTCTGGGGAATCCATAAATATTTTTTTTTTTTTAAAGAGAGAGAGAGAGAGAGAGAGAGAGAGAGAGAGAGAGAGAGAGAGAGAGAGAGAGAGAGAGAGAGAGAGAGGGAGGGAGGGAGGGAGGGAGGGAGGGACTGGGGGAGGGAGGAAGAGAGAGAGCCAGACTGGCAAGCAGAAAGACAGACAGGCTGGCAGCCTGGGAAACAGAGAGATCATGCTGGGGTGTGGGGAGTACAGTCAGTCCATGCGAAATTGACGGTATACATGTACATGTACATGCAGATACAAAAAGAAATCCTGGTTTATGTAACTGGAGGTGTGAAGTTAGATAGGTAGAATTCGTTCTCATGTCTGCACTATATGCAGATATCATCCGCAGCGCCGGTTGCAGAGCACTATAATTATTATTCGATCTGTCACTATTAAAACCCCAGCTTCCCTTAGTATGCAGTACTTACAGTACTGCAGTACTGTAAGTTTGAGAAGAGGAAGGGTTACAACAAATGCGTAGTGTAGAAATCAGCCATGACATTCGTTACTATGTTGTAGAAACTCTGGAAGGAATGAAACCAGCGGGTTCAAAGCGGGTGTTGGCAAAGAATGTACGGACACGAGACACAAAGCAATGACTATTTTGGGTGGTTCTAATGTCAGTGGGGAGAGAATTCCAGGTGGCAGCGGTATAACAAAGAGGAAAGTGGCACGCGAGTAGGTGTTCGCCCTGGCAGGCGGGACAAGTTGGAGAGGGCGCCGCGCGCTGGTGGAGAGACTATAGCCCAGCTCCATAAGGGCAGTGGTCTGGTGGTGGACCAGGTGATGGAGCTCCCGGAGGCACTGGATGTGTCGCCGCCATGCCAGACTGGGCCATTGGAGGTGCGCGAACAGAGATGCCTTCGGTTCAGTAGCGGAGGGAAGCACACCGTACTGTCTCAAGACGACTCGTGCCAATCTGGCTTGCAGACGCTCAAGGACAGCCGCTTGGGATGCGGACAGTTGGAACTGCCACAGTGGTGAGGCGTATTCAATGGTGGGTCGGACATAACCAGTATAAAGCCGGTTTGTAACTTCCGGCGTTAGGCGGCTCGACATGTGGGCAAGTAGTACCACGCATTGGCGAAATTTGGTGGTGATTGTTTCGATGTGGCACTGGAAGTTGAGGTGGCTATCATTATTTGCACGCCAAGATGGCGGTGCGTGTTGACCGTGCGCACTTCTTCCCGGTTCATTCGCAGGTGCCCGATGTTTGGAGGGTCCGGTCCGTTGGTACGTGGGGAGAACGTCATTTGGAAAGACTTCGTGGGGTTAAAGCGTCCACCTTCCGAGTCGGCCCATTTCAGGGCGACATCCGTGGCAACTTGGAGTGGATGACTATGATGCTGAGAAGAGGGAGTGGTAGGTGCAGCGACTTCCGTTCCTCTCTCTCTCTCTCTCTCTCTCTCTCTCTCTCTCTCTCTCTCTCTCTCTCTCTCTCTCTCTCTCTCTCTCTCTCTCTCTCTCTCTCTCTCTCTCTCTCTCTCTCTCTCTCTCTCTCTCTCTCTCTCTCTCTCTCTCTCTCTCTCTCTCTCTCTCTCTCTCTCTCTCTCTCTCTCTCTCTCTCTCTCTCTCTCTCTCTCTCTCTCTCTCTCTCTCTCTCTCTCTCTCTCTCTCTCTCTCTCTCTCTCTCTCTCTCTCTCTCTCTCTCTCTCTCTCTCTCTCTCTCTCTCTCTCGCTCGCTTGCTCGCTCGCTCTCTTTCTTTCTCTCTCCTCTGCCTGTCCATCAGAAGCACTCCATGACAGCAAATAGTTACTCCTGATTAGCTTGTTTCTTTCAATAAAGGACCACGGGAAGTCAATAAACACAAACAAACAAATATACGAACAACTCATCAGAGTACAAGCAGTTGTTGAATACTTGTTAGCATTAGACACCCCACCCTGCAGGGGGAGGGGGGGGGGGGCGGATTCGTCGCTTTGGCAGCTCGCAGCACCATTACGTCACACCCCAGCAGCCTTTCATGAATCATGGTTAGGCCACCCTTTCTTTTTTCGTTGCGCGCCCGCGTACCTTTTTGCCTCCGACCGAAAAAAAAACAAGAAAGTAGTAGTACCAATAATATGCGAAGTTGTAAATACATGATTGTGTAGTTTCACAGTGTGCCGATCATGACCTTAACTTATAATCTTGCCTCCCGGGCATGCCTTTGTCTTGTTTTCTTTTTCATTTTTGTTGGCTTTTAAATATCGTACGGTGTGTGTCCTAGTAAAAATCCAGATGTAATGAATTCATGACATGCTAACTCCATGCTATGTACCTGTTTTAATAATAACTAATAATAACTTTATTTTGTTGGATTCATCAGGCATGTGCTCCAATGTACCATCAAAGAGTGTTGTTCTATGCCTGCAAAGTGCAAGTGCCGTTAGACCCAGAAATATTGTATATATCACATGCTTTACTGGTCAAAATGTTTGATTGGGGTTTCCAGTTTTTGGAATGGGCTTTTTTTTTCGCCCTCCCGCGTACCTTTTCGCGAAAAAAAGGACGTTAAACAATGAATTAACAAAGGGTGGCCATTCATGGTGCCTAGCGCCTACCGTCAGCTAACCGAAGTGTTGTTGACATTTTTACTTGGGGATCCAACCGA